TCAAATTTTTCGTTCGTTTTATTTTATCCAAATTTTTTTCTAAAAAAAGTTGATCCCGTGCATCGCACGGGTGAATTACTTGTATATATTCAACTTTTATTCTTCTCTTACAATTAAAGTCCATGCTAATAAAATTACTCTTTTGGCTGGATTTCTCCTCTTCACACAGTAAATTTTCTAAAGAAGAATAAAGGGGTTGATTTTATTTCAAAATATTACACAAGTCAATTATCAATAAAAGAATAAAAAAAATATCTTAGTCTTTTTTCAACTTTCCCACGGATTCACAATCAAAGAAAATACATAGTAGCAACCAAAAAAAAAAAACAAGAAAACAACCACAAATCTATAAAGTGCACATTGGTTTTCTTACATAAAATAAAATTTAATTTAGTTGAGTCGATTGAGACAGAGAAGGAAGCTGGTGGGTCAACGTTTGAATTGTAGCGTTTACGAAGGTGAGAGGCTTTTAACTAACAAAATTGTGAGAGTATATCTGTAAAAAGACATCGGTGTGGATTTTAACACACTTTCTCTATCTCAAATAATAATATATTTGAAGGATTTTTTAACAAATTGAATGTTTTGTAAAAGTAAAACGATCTGAGTGAAAATTAAATAATTACTAGTGTAATGTATTATTGCAAAACCCCATATATTTCGTGACTGAAGTTTTATATAATGCTACATTAGGTAGATCTTTACGATTCATAAGCACACAAACTCGCGTACATCAACATTGGTGCGTGTAACCTTCACCTAATGTTGTAGCCTAGAAATAACTATGGTGGAGGCTAACATTTTCTGATGGTTAAGAATTTAAAGTTGGTCGGTCAATAGCATGAAAATGGCAGTCAAATTTATTCAATTTACAAGTAATACAAATAAACATTCATAACTAACATTTCCATAATAGGAGTAAGGCTAAAAATGTGGTTGGTATCATAAATTCATAGTTACTGAATGAAAATGTACTTTTTGTGGGTAAGACATCATAAAATAATTCATTCGGATCCATTCAAGCCATGTTAGTTGTTGTTTATGATAATTGTATAAAGAAATACTATTAATGATATAGTTAATGAGATAAAAAAAAAAATCTTACAAGTACCCTTGTCGTAAAGTTAATTAAATTACGAAGAAAAAAAAAATCTTATTTGCATAGTTGTATATTTATCTCCTCACAGTTTGCGTCGTTTAACATTTTTCCCCTAACAACGACAATAATAATAGAATGTTTTAAATTTCAGTATTCCTCCTCAAATTCCCATTTTACACTATCACGGTCGATATTAACTTACATTTTATATTTTTCATAACATCCAATTTCATAAAGTAAATTGTAAATTCATTTAATCCAAATAATTCTAATTTGAGATAATTAGTTTCGAGAATCATTTATAATTTTTATTTACTTTGGTCATTTTTTTTATTTAAATTAATTTATCAATAACATTCAATACCATTATATTTTTTTAGGTAAGTCCATCCATGTATGTTTTAATTAGTTTCTTGTTAATTTGCATTTTACATATAAGCTAAATTATGTTTTAGTTAGTTATTTCTCCTATATGTAAATCAATCGAATCAACTGATTTTATTCAGTTGAGTCAACTGAGACGGAGAAGGTGGTTGATGGGTCGATCAATATTTGAATTATAGCGTTTGAGAAGGTGAGAGACTTTTAACTAATAAAATTTTGAGAGTATTTTTGTAAAAAGACATAGCTATGGATTTTAATACACCTTTTCTATTTCAAATAATAATAGATTTCTGGGACTTGTTATCAAATTGAATGTTTTGTGAAAGAAAATCAATCGACTGAAATTTTAAAATAATAACTAACGAAATTTATTGTTGCAAAACCCCTTGCATGTCATAGCCGAGGGCTTATGTTATGCTACATCGGGTGAAATACACCGGGTATATCTTTATCATTTATAAGCACACAAACCCGCACACGCGCCGCACCAACATTAATGTGTATAGATTAACAGTAAAAAGTCACCCGATATAATCTTCACTCGATGTAGCATAGAAATAACCACGACCGACGGTAACATTTTTGGACGGTTGTTTCCACAATTTAAAGTTGGTCGGTCACTAGCATAAAAATGGCAGTCAAAATTATTCAATTTTCAAATAGTACAAATACACATTCATAATCATAACCAACATTTCTATAATAGGAGTGAGGTTCAAAAATGTGGTTGGTATCATAATTATTGAATGAAAATGTACTTCCCTTGTTTATGATCACTATAAGAAAAAGTCCCTTCAATTCAAACCCATTTCATTTGTTGTTTGTGATAAATGTATAAAGAGATACTATTAGTGATATAATTGATGTGATTAAAAAAATTACAAATACCCTTGCGGTAAAGTTAATTAGATTACGAAACGATTTCTCTTGTTTGCAGCAATTTACGTCACGTAACATTTCCCCCTAAAAGCGTCAATAATCATAGATTCTTTTAAATTTCGAGAGTATATTCCTCCTCATATGCCAATTTTACACTATCATTGTAAGGTGTAAATGTTGCATGCCAATATTTTCGTCTACTTCATTCATTTATATTTTTTGTTATTGCATTTACATTATATTCTTCAGTTCACTATAAGAAATAATCTTTGAGCGACAACATTAATTCTTAAACGATTAACAAACGATATTGTCATTATGGTTGTGTAACTAATGGGGTATCACTAATGTTATATCATGACAATAGAAATGGATTGTCACTTATAAAGTAATAATAAAAAAAGATTAAGTGACAACAAAAAAAGTTACTAGTAACAACATAAAAATGTATTGTTATCACTAAATATATGTGTTTAATGTGTGTTTTGATTGTCTCACACAATTATGGTATGAGAAATTCCATTTTTTCTTGTTGCGATTGTACATGTGGAACTAGTAGTAAAAATTAAAGTAAAATACAATTGTATTATGTTTGTCTCTAACTTTAACTCGACTTTATAAAGTATAAGAAAAGGGGGGAAAAGTGATTTTTTTTTTGTGCTTTATTTTAAGTTACTTATATGGTTTTACGGTGTAAACACAATAATATTTAATACTATACCAGATGAATTACACCAAATAGTATTACATTGTAATTATATACATAATTATAGACATATATGTGGGTGAATTGTATTTTGCACCCTACAATTAACAGTATTTCCACGCTAACATTTTAAAATTGACAAACCCCGCCCTTAAAATACACACCTCATGGCAAAATGTACCCTACCTCAATTTCTTGTGATAATTTAGCCAAAAAGAATCAATATATCACGATATTTTACATTTTTGAAGGAATTTTCATTATTTATGTTTTGTTTTCTTATTTAATATTATTTAATTATTTTACTTGTATATATTTAAAACATAATGGATGATTGTTTTTATATGTTTTGCATCGAAGTAAAAAATGCATTTCTAATTTCTAATTTTGATTCAATTTTAATTTTCGAAATGATTCAAAATTCCATAAAATTAATATTTATTAAAAAATGAAAAATAGAATAAAAATGTAGGACATTTATATTGTTTTTAAATGTCTAGTTGATAGAAATTAAATGGGTTATTTAGAGTAAGGCTTTGAATTGTTATTTTTCAGAAGTTAAAATATCGTGGTATGTTGATTTTTGGGCTAGAATCTCATAAGAAATTGATGTAGGGTGCATTGCGCCATGAGAAATATAAATTAAGGGTGGATTTTGCCAGTTTTTGAAATGTGAGGGTGCAAAGCACCAATTAGGGCTAATTATGGGGTGCAAAATGCAATTCACCCCATATATGTGGATGCATGTAAAATAGATAATTATTGGTACAATACATATGTTTGTATAATGAGATACGTTCGATATATTCACGGATTGTAAGGTAGAAAAAATCAGATGTTAGAAAAATAAAAGGCTGACTATTACATAATTAATTTATGTGACCATTCAAATTAATTTAAACAGTTACAGCTGTATGTGTACATATATCATATATGTGTAAAGTAAAAGTAACGAGTCACGATTCCTAGTGCCATTATTTTAAACGAATAGCTCCTCACTTTGGAATCACAATTTGGGGAATTTGAATAATAAATTGACTTACTCAAAAAAAAAAAACAAAGAATAATAAATTGACCGATTTAGCAGTTGGAGCAAATTAATTTATGTCAATTGACCAAAGTTTGAACACCTTTGTCAACGGTCGGTAGATCAAACTTGTCACACATGTAGTTTAGTGTGTTTTACGTCTCTCGTACGATTTGCAAGTTATTATACAAAAGTGTAGGTTTTTCAAGTGCACCTTCACGATTCTCTACTGATTCTTTCATTAAATAAAAATTAAATGGAGTTTAATATAAATAATATGCAAAACCCAATGTTAATTGTTGGGCTCGTGGTCTTTGAGAACGTTCTATTCAATGTTGAAACCCACGCTTGAATCAATGCCGTTTCTCACTTCTCACATTTCGTTTATGTATTTAATTATCTATAATAATATATATATCTCATTTAGTATTATTTATTAATATAATCAATTAATATTAGGAATTATTTTGCGTTGGGTTCTTGATATATTTTGATCAATAATATTATTATTACAACCCATACAAAGTTTGGAGTTGGGATGTCATAGTCTTGATTTATAATAATTCATCATCTTTAATAATTATAGTGGCAAATAACCTATTTAATTACCTTGTTATTTGGACAAGCCACCACCCCTAATTATTATTCCAAACACTTAAATGCTACCAATTACAATAATTAACTTAATACTGCGTAATATCTTATCTATCAATTATTATTTATTTATTTTTAATTATTATTATATATATTATTCTCTAACAAGTAAATATTTTCTTTGTAAATCGAAATTCAAACATGTGATTTCTAAATAAACAAGATGTAAAGAAAGGGCATTTCTTCAACTAATTATAAACTAACATCTTTTAATTTATTTATGTCAAAAAAAATTTAATTAAACAAATTAATAAACTCTTTTATCCAAATTTCGGCTCATTAATGAAACGTCACAATATTTTTTGAACTAAAAATCCTTATTAATACTGGATTTCAATTATTAAAAGATAAAATTAATTAAAAAAAAACATATAAATAGCTATTTTAATCCCTGCAAGAAATCCCAAATAATAACATAAATTTAAATATAATAAAAATAATAATAATAATAAAAAAAAAATTCTAGCAGAAACAAGAAGATTGGGAATAGTGATAATTACAGCTCAGAAACAACAGCCTTCTTCTTCTTCTTCTCCTAGTGGTGGTGGTGGTGGTGAAGAAGATTCCATTTTTGAGGTTGAGCCAGAGAATCTTCCTCAGCTTTCTCGCTGATCTGAAACGAGCCCACAAAACCTTTCTCACTCTAGAAAATGAATTCTTGATTCTCTCTCCTAAACTCAGCTTTCTGGAGAACTGGTAGCTTCTCAAGAACAGCTGCCTCTTCTCCAACAACTCCGTGTACCCCATCTGCTGATCACTTCTCATCGTGTACGAATAGTTTATTAGTGCCATCGCTCTACATACAGCATGTGTGATCGATGTGTGTATCTATATATATAGTTCTAGAGAGAGAAAGAATGGAGAATCCCTTTTTTTTCTTTTTCTTCTCTCTCTCTCCTGTTTTTGGTGTGAGAAAGGAAGAAGCAGGGTTTGTCAAGTCAATAGACTCACACCTGTATTTATATTTAGGCTTGTGTTTCTGCGCTCTGGCTAATTAATAAAGGAGTTTGGAGGGATAATTACATTTTTGGTCCCCCATGTTTGCCCGCTTTTCCGTTTTGGTCCCCCATTTACCGCAGTCAACAAAATACACTCTCGTTTTATCAAAATTTAACACATTTGGTCCTACCGTTTGGTTGACCGTCTGACTTAACAGTCAACCGTCATGTGCCACGCACGTGACTTCAAATTAGGGCTTAATTTGCCATCGTTTTTTCCCCCAAAATCATTTGCCATCGTTTTTTTCCCCCAAAATCACCATTTCTCTCTCTCTCTCTCCACGCTCTCTCTCTCAATCTCAAATTCCCCAAAATCAACATTAACATTTCTCTCTCTCTCTGCCGATTAATTTCTGGGTCGAAGAAGAATCAACAAGAAAAGAGGAATTTTTCGAAGGCCATGTCGCGAAGAAGCAAATTCTCTGGTGGATTTGCCCCAAATTACGGTAAGCAGAACTCAACTTGAACCCTAATGTACTGTTCTTGCCATTTACAATGTTGCTGATATATATATTTTTTTTCCTTTCTTGTGGCAAAAAATCATTTTCAGAAAGAATTGGGATAAGTACTTGGTGTACTGTTAAAATGTATTATGGGGGGGTACTGAAACATGGTCCAGAAACGAGGTACATAGGTGGGAGTGAGGAGTTTTTTGATTTTTCAAAACCTGCTGAGATGAGGATGCTTGATATGTGGATAATGTCACGGGAGTTGGGGTATTCTGATAGGAAAAAAATTAAATTTTGGTACAAATTTGGGGCAAATCTGAATATGGGTAGGTACTTGGAAACTGATACCGATGTAGCTTCTATGAAACCTATTAACTATGAAGTTGAAATATACTTAGAACAGTTGGGGTTAGAAGAAACTGTGAATGTGGTACCTACCTTGCAAAGTCAAGTTGCATCATCAGTCATTACTGATGAGCAAACTGACACTGTTTTACCTGAATTACCCAATGTTGAACCTGAGTTAAGCAATGAGAGTGACAGTGAGGAAGATGGTGATGAGTTTTATGATAGTGATTATGACTTTGAAGAAGATGACAAGTTGTTTGAAGCCTATGTAGATCCAGATGCTGAGTTTGGTGGGGTTAAATCAAAGGGTAAAGATAAGGTCTCTGAATTTGTCTCAGATGATATGTATACTAGGATGCTTAATGAAGAAGGTGATGATGACTGTGTTAACAGTGACTCAATGGGCAGTGACTGTGGCTCTGATGATGAACATAGGGTTAAATTCCCCAAGTTTAATCCTAAAACTGACAATAAAAACCCTGAGTTAAAGCTTGGGTTGGTTTTTTCTTCAAAAAAAGAAGCAAAATTTGCTATAGAGAGCCACTGCCTTAGGAGGGGGATGATGATCAAGTTTTACAAGAATGACAGTAGAAGACTGAGGGCCTGCTGTAAGAATGATGGTTGCAAATGGTCAATACATGTTTCTCCAATGCAAAATGACAAGACTTGGCAAATCAAAACTTATGTGTCTGACCATAACAACTGTTATTGGAACTACAACAACAGCAGCCTCAAGTCCAGCTGGATTGGTAAAACTTTCATGAAAAAATTCAAAGAAAATCCTAAGTTAGGCACAACTGAGTTCAGAAATGAAGTCTGCACAACTTTGAAAGCAAGTGTCTCCAAATCTCAAGCCTATAGGGCAAAGCAAAAGGCACTAAAGGCTATTCAAGGTTCAGAAGAAGAACAGTTTCAAAAAATAAGATCTTACTGTGAAGAACTCAAAAGAACAGACACAAATGCCACTGTTGTTTTAAAATTGACAGAGGACACAGAAGGTTTGAGGTTTCAAAGATTGTACATTTGCTTTTCAGCTTGCAAAGAAGGGTTCAAGAATGCTTGTAGACCTGTCATAGGAGTGGATGGGTGTTTTTTGAAAGGGCAGAGGGGTGGGCAATTATTGGCTGCAGTTGGGTTGGATCCAAACAATAACATATACCCAATTTGTTATGCTATTGTTGAGGGTGAAACTAAGGAAACCTGGATGTGGTTCCTTCAGTTGTTAGATGAAGACATTGGCTTTGAGGAACAACACAAGTGGACATTTATGTCTGACAAACAAAAGGGACTTATCCCTGCTTTTGAAACTCTATTTCCAGGTGCAGAAAACAGATTCTGTGTAAGGCACTTACACAGTAATATGAAGAAGGATGGCTTTGGGGGTATGGCAATTAAGAGTGCACTGTGGGCAGCTGCAAAAGCCACTAGAATTGAAGAGTTCAAGAGGAGAATGGAAGAGCTGAGGGCTATAGATGAAGCTGCATACAATTGGTTAGTGAAAAAGCCTCCTCAGAATTGGACCAGGTCTCATTTCAATCCATTTCCTAAATGTGATATCTTGTTGAACAATATGTGTGAGTGCTTTAATTCTTTCATCCTTGATGCAAGAGAGAAACCAATAATACCAATGCTTGAGTGTATAAGAAATCTGTTGATGGCCAGAATGGTGTTGAATAGGGAAAAAGCTCTAAAATGGGATACAAACATTTGTCCCAAGATCAGAACTGTCTTGATAAAGAATATGAAAGATGCTGGTGAGTGCATCCCAATGAAATCAGATGAGTGGAATTTTCAGATAGTGGGGATGTATGATCAGCATACTGTTGACATAAGAGCAAAGAGTTGCAGCTGCAGAAGATGGGATTTGACAGGTATCCCTTGCAAACATGCCATTTCTGCCATTTGGTGTAGGCATGAAGACCCTGAGCAATATGTTCATCACTGTTACAGTGTTGACTCATATAAAAGAGCATATGAAAACTCCATTTCACCAATAAATGGACCAGAATTTTGGCCTCAATGCACTTTGCAGCCTCCATTACCACCAATGTATAAAGAAAAAGCTGGTAGACCTCAAAAACTGAGAAGAAGAGAGCCAGATGAGCCACCTTCTGTTGGGGGAACAAAGTTAAAGGGGGTTCCAAGAATTAATAAGTGCAGAAAGTGTGGGCAAGCAGGGCATAATGCTAGGAAATGTGGAGGAAAAAGAAAGACTGTGGAAGAAACAAATGAAGTTGATCAAGGTGTGCAAGAATCTAGGGAAGAACCTGATCAAGGTGGGCAAGAATCTAGCCAAGAACCTGTTACACAACAAAGCACTGCTGCAATGAATGTTTCTCAAAGAGGAGAAACACAAGTTCCACAGAGGAAGATGCAGGTAACTTTATTTATTTTTTATTCAATGTTCTTCCTCTTTTCAATGTTTATTCTTATTTTAGTTTATATCACTGTTGTAGGTAAGAAGGCCAACAAAAAGGCAAGTGAATATGACAGGAACTTCAAACACTACCTCTACAATCAATGTAAGTGTTTACTGAACCTTTTGATTGTTTAATGTACTTAATGGTTTGTTTACTGAACCTTTTTCTTTTTGTTGATGTAGATGCAGATCAATGAAGGTTCAAGTGTAAGTACTCCTGTCATTGTCAAGGGAGGAGTTAATTTCATCACAATGTCCAACCTCAGATCTGCTTTTGGTATCCAAGGCTCTACAAGTTCTGCAAATCCATTCACTGCACCAAGGCCAGCCAAAAAGCCAACACAGTCAAAGAATGGATCAAAGAAGACCACATAACTTGATGTTTTTCCTATGTTTCAATTGTTGGTGCAATGACTTTTGGATTATTTTATGGACATGTACTTTATTTTGTTTGTTTTGTCATCCATTGGAATGATGTTACTTTACTTTGGTTTGTTTTGTTTGTTTGCTGTTGTTATGTTCATTTAGAATGTTGTTTAATGTTCATTTGGAATGTTGTTCATTTGGAATGTTGTTATTTGGAATTCTGAATTTGTTCAGTTGAAATGTTTTTCAATTGGAATTTTTCTGGGATTTGAAATCCTTCAGTTGAAATGTTTGTTCATTTGAAATGTTTTTCAATTGTTATTTTAGTTGTTATATATATTGAGCTCATTTGTTGGTCACCATCACACAGTAGCACACTTTACCATCACACCTTTGCATTCAAAACATCAATAGTCTAAACCATTCATTACCATCACACATTTGCATTCAAAACATCAATAGTCTAAACCATTCATTACATTCAAAATATGCCAAAATATGCATTACAAAAGTCTATATCAGGAGAACATTACATCAATTGAGCTTCAACATCAGACAACATTACATCATTAGAGCTTCAAAATCACATGCATTGCTATAAACAAAAGCAAAGCAAGAATCACAACCATCAACTTCATTACTTTCTTCTTGTATAATTCAAGTTGAATCAACATCTTCCCTTGGTTTTCCTTCTCTTCTTTCATGTCATCTTCCAATTTGTTCAATTTCTTCAACAGTCCGGGAATAATTTGTTTTGACCTTCCACACATTTCTGGATCGACCCACTCAAAATAATTGCAATGTGATACTTTCTGTGACCAAAAAAAAAAAGACTTGAATTGAAATTCATAACTGGAACAAATGGCACCCCTTAATTTCAGAAATTTACTCACCATGTAATTCGCACATGCAAGAAATCGCCGCCCAGGGTTTTTATCAGTCCACGAAGTGTTTATTGGAAGCTCAATTCCACATTTACATGTATGAGCTTCGATTGGAAATGGTCTTGCACTCCAATCCCCAGAATCACTGCCAGTTTGTTGTTTTCGATTTGATGTGGTCGATCGACTACTCATATTTTCAAGAGGGGGAGAGACAATTTCGTGATTTGGTGTTTGGATTGTTGAAATTGGAATTTCTTCCAAAAATTAGGGTTCTTGGAAAAATTGGGGAATTTGAGATTGAGAGAGAGAGCGTGGAGAGAGAGAGAGAAATGGTGATTTTGGGGAAAAAAACGCAAATTAAGCCCTAATTTGAAGTCACGTGCGTGGCACATGACGGTTGACTGTTAAGTCAGACGGTCAACCAAACGGTAGGACCAAATGTGTTAAATTTTGATAAAACGAGAGTGTATTTTGTTGACTGCGGTAAATGGGGGACCAAAACGGAAAAACGGGCAAACTTGGGGGACCAAAAGTGTAATTATCCCGAGTTTGGACTTTAATTTCCTTATCGTATGGGAGAAGTTTTGTGGGGGAATTTACAATTAAGCGAATATGAAAGGACTAAATTATATGAATAAATGATACAGAAACCTCCCAAGTCCTATCCTATCTGTAAATTATTAATTAATTAATTAATTAATGTATTTATGATGAATTGTGTTGAGGACACTTAAAAGTCAATTGTATTTTTGTAAGCTGTCTTTAAGTTTTTCAGACAACTTTTTTTAATTTGATACCATAATAACCCATAATAATTTGTAACTGAAGTGATGGCTAGGTGACTTCCAATTCTTGAATTCATATTTCAGTCTGTTATAAATTGATTTTTCATTTCAAATTTTATTTTTCTGATACAATTATTAATGATTTGAGTAAGCTTATAAGAATGTTTTCAACGGCTCATAAGATGTTGAGAGCTTATAAGCTCTTCCAAACGGGCCCTTAGGTCACCCTTACGGACAAAAGAAAGATATGATTTTAGTGTAGAAGGGGATGGGAATTAGTAGTGTTTCTTATGTTATTATTACTCAATATATATTGCAATTTTCTTTCTATGTTTGGGAAGTTGGAATTGGTTTGAACATCTTTTTCTTGCCGCAACTGCAATCTCCATTTTTGGCTTCATTCTTCCAAAGCATTTTTAGCTTTTTTGCAAAACTTTTTAGAACAGATTATTATTTATTTTTTCTCATGGTCCTTTGTGGAGGATTTATAGCACATTTTTAAATAACTGAAAAATGAATTTGAATTTGTAAGAACAAAAATATTTGAGAAACATAAGCTGAAATTAAATTTTGTTTTTTACATATTCACTCCTAAGCAAATGGCTTACTTTCACTTTGCACTCTTGAAATGGTGTCTTTTGGCACTTTGCACCCTTAAAAAATAATAATAGCACTTTGCAGTCTCAAAACACAATAAATCATTCACAATGCACCCTTAGTTGTATAATAAAAAAAGATAATTTGTTTTTTATTGGATTTTTTTTTTCCGGGATGTAAAATAACAAATTAAATTGTTATTTTCTTCAACCTTCAAACTAATTTTGAGCGCACAAAGTGCGAAAAATAAAAATCACACCGGACAATTGAATTTTTTTATATTTTCTTACAAAATAAAATTAAATAAACTTTTATTAGGTAGAAATATTTGGAAGAAAATATGATTTTCAAATGACTTGATAACGAAATAGCTGAAGTTCGTAAAATATTTTTTTTGCGATAAAAAAATGTAATTTTTAAATACCACTAAAAATATTAAATTACCTTTATTAGCTATAAAAACTCGTGTGGGGTGCATTATACATGATATATTGTGTTTCGAGGGTGCAAAATGTTATTAATTTATTTCAAAGGTGCAAAATGCCAAAATGTTATATTTCAAGGGTGCAAAGTAGGATTAAGCCTAAACAAATTGACTAAAATTGAATTTTTTTTCAACATACTTGCACGCACCCATGTTTACTTTGCTATTTCTTCAAAAAAAAAACCCTATTTTCAAAATGATTTCTTCAATAAGGCAAACATTAGAAGTCGTTCCAATGCATTAGGAGTAAACAAATAGTAAAATAAAATACTTTTCACAAAAACAAAAGTACCAAAAACACCAATTAACAAATGGCAAAAGTTCAAACCTAAACTCTAAACTTGTGACAAACTAAATCAACAACATACTTGATGGTCAATTATTACAATCACACTCCAACTTTTGATTCTCTCTCTTAAACTCTAAGATACAGACTAATTAAGCACTTTTTACGAGCTTAATCGGATAATCAAGACAGATACAACCAACATCCAAAATGAAACAGAGATAGTTTAAACATGAAATTAGTTGAGAAAAAAAGTCATAATTCTTGAGTAACAAGCAACACAAAGTTCCGTAATAAACACAACCAACAATCGAGTTAGCAAGATACAATAATACAAATCAAACCCGAATTCCATTCCATGTACTATAACGACCTGAATTATAATACTGAGATAAGCCCGACCGATAACATAGTTCGCTTCTACAATACAACCAACCGGCAAGTAACAATATTACGTTTAAACTTGACCCTTGTGACTATTAGAAAATGCCAAAACAAGTGTTATCTAAATGTACAAATCCTAGTCCCAGCACCTCTCGTAACAGATTAGAACAGCCTAGTATCGATAAAGAAAAAAGGTGGGATTTTTTTTCTAAGTACCTTAAAATGTTGTCATCTTTTGCCAGGTTCAATAGCAGCAGGTACTTTAGTCGGGTAATTAGAAATGTCAATGTCGATGAGGGAAAGGTCATAAACCGCAGAACCCGAATTCGATGCATCCCCTCTAAGCAAAGACGAGTTTGGTGCCTCCAATTTCACAGTCTCACTTGAATTTTGAGGGTTGCTACTGGATAATTGTATCTCGTCCGCCTTGTTCGCAAACATGTGTTTATTTCTTCTCACCGTATCCATTTCCGGGCCGGTTGGCACAAAAGTACGGGCCCTGTATTTTCTAGCTCCATCTTCGCCTTCGTTATGGTTGTAGAGCACATAGTCATGATACGTCGGTGCAAACTGTAGGAAATTCAAATATGGAGATAGTAAGAATTACGTGTACGAACAAATAATAAATGCTTTTTTTATTGCAATAAATCTTTACCTGGTGAACTGTATCGTGGTAAAAGTCGTTTAATTTCAGAGCGTGTGCAAGGCTTGCAGTAAAGCTGCTATCACCTCCAATATTTGCACCGGCATACTCTTTGTAGGGAAAAGCATATAAATGACCAACAGCAGCGATAAGCATCTCGACGCAAATAATAAAATTTTGAACTTCTGCAGCTTCCTTTGTATCTCTTATTAGTCCAGATTTAGCCGCAAGAAACACCAAAACACCCTGCAAGAGAAGGGATTTTAGAACTGCAAGAGAAGGAATTCAATGTCACTTAAATGTGTATTGAAACAGTCCACAAGTATCATACCTGCCAGTAAGTGAGAAATACTACGGATTTGATTATGATAAACTTGGGCACTGGATTGAACGGCTGAAGCAAATCTTTGCAAGCCACATAAAATAAGACTAAGGCATAAAGAGCCACAGAGTACGAGATTGTATAGATAATGGTAAGGTAGAGATAGGATTGCATTGGACTGAAATTCCCGTCTTCATATTTCCCTTTTGCGTACAGTATAAAAGTAACTATGACTAGAATAGGCTTGAGTATCACAAATTGCAGACCCCCTTGTTTGCATCTTCGTATAAAACGCCTGTATGGCATAAACAACAGTAAGCCAAACAAAAGTAATATATGAGGTGCAGCATTCATGAATCGTGAGTGATACTTTACGGTTCAAAATAATAGAGCCTAAACAAGACGTAAAGCATAAACCCATTAGCAATCACCAAGCATCAATTCATCCTTAATTGCTAGAAAGAGAAAAGGTGACACATAACGGCACTTGCACACGCTCCCTTGTCTACTTAAAGAATGGGAGCGGCACAATAAGCAGTAAGCAGTAAACCCAAACTTTTGCCAAGATTGTAACAGCGTGGAGTATGAAATAAAATGATCGTGCTATCAAGAATCATTACTCTTTTATGTTAAGCTATTCTAAGTTATCACAAATGTCAAAAGAAAATTGAGACATCAAGGCTCCAAGTAACGCAAACTATGCAAGTCTTGTAATAACAACCAACAAACTAACAATTACAATAGTCTCAAATTAAGTTATAGAATCAAAGTACCCTGGTTGTTACCCTTCTAACGGATTTGCCAACTTGTATGAAGACACTATGTTTAAAAACAGTAGAGAACTTCAATATAAATGCTTAACTTAAACTAGAACGAGTTAGAGGTGCCTATTTATATACTTTAGTCATTGTATTAACAATCCAGCATGTCAGTATGTAGCACAAAAGAAATTACAAAAGGGAAGAGCATTCAAGAATGTAATATATGTATAAGCATCCGTTCTTGGCTTTTACACCCCCAATCGACATATTTTAGGTGCATTCACTCAGTCATTCTCTGTGGCATGACTAAATCTAGGAATTAGAGGTGCCCCTAGATGCACACTCTAATCATTATATAATAATCCAAAATGTAACACAAAAGCAAACATGAAAAAGAAGAGCATTGAAGAAGAACCCAAACATCTACTCTTGGCTTTCACACCCCAATCAACATGATTAGGGGCATTTACTCGGCCTAAAATACCGTTCGCTTGAATAAAAGACAGATAAGAATATATGGTGTCCAGAAATCGAAAAAACTGTCACTGTACATGTAATCAAACAAATGGTAGTTTGATGCCTGACTACTTACCCATCCAGTGGAGTAGGAGGTAAGCAACACGTCATTAAAGACCATTTTGGCTTCAGAACTTTGCCGGACAGACTTATCACAACAGCTCCTGGACCACCTACCCATGCTAAGCATAGTGATAGGAAATTATAAATGACCCAAGCTTCATATCTGCATAGATAATTAATCACAACCATTAAATGCCGCATGCAAAAGAAATGAGCTCCAACAGCTAAAACAGCCATGTTAATTCAACCAAAGCAATCAGAGATCGGAATCAGGAAATGTAGCATGGGCAGATATAGAATATGCATCTAAGATACATAAGCAAGTTCGAAGGGGTAGCTCACTGTCCTTTGATGATAAACCTTCAAACTCTTGGTATTTAGTGGACTCTAAACTATCCAGTGTACTCAGCTTTCTATAATGAATCTAAAGTATGCCAAATATACAATAAAAATGAGGGACAGCATCCAAGAATATCATTGTGGTGTGCCATGAATGTCAGCTTAAATTCTTATAGCTTTTATTAAATATTGCATGGGAACTTTGTCATAATTGAATGTCAGACTTAATTCTCATGGACAATTACAAAGCATTGTAAATCATAATGTCATAGCGTGCACACAAACTCGTGTCATTCCCTTAGAACAAATGAAGCTTCAAAAAGTTCATAAATTTAGGCCACTGCCATTATACTCAATCTTGGCCACAAAACAATAACACAGGTCCACCTTCAGAAACTATGAGTTGATCACACGCAATATTAACCTCACAAGAACATATTAGATTAAAAGCTACGGTACATTATTTTTTATTCAAAATAATGCAAACAGCAAAGCAGATGAGATATTCCATGCAGTTAAATAGCCACACTGCTTCAAAAATAAGAGCAGCATGAGTTATTGTAACGATTACTTTGAATTGTTTAAGACAAAAGAAAGAAAATGTCATGGTAGTACTTACACTTCTCTGAATGAGTTGAAGTAAATTGAACTTTTATTTAGAACCAGGGACAAGAATGACATCAATGCATAAACCTGTCATAAAACAAATTTCAACATGATTAGAACAGATTTATGAGTTGATTGAGGTAATGCCAAGTATGTAGGACTCCACTCACAATATATTTGCCTGTTGCCATAAACCTATAAAATGAACCTATTCAGAACAAATGCTAAATCAAAAAAAAAAAGTTTGTTATACATGCATGGGTCAGTGGTACAAATTCCAAATAATTTAGGATAAAACTTTATATTATTATGAAGATGAAACTTTTCTCTTTATGATTTTAAAATGTTTTACTTTTAGGTCATTTTTCGCTTTCGTGAAGACTTGCGAACCAGTAGCGTATTTATAAGTGGCTTAAAGAAGTCGTTGGTCCGAATTTTAGGTATTCTGGTATTGCATGAAATGTTATAAGAGGTTATCAGTCAAGCAACTTTTATGCACGTGTTTCAAAATTCAATACTCAAAATAATTGCTTCTGCTATCTGGTGTTATTTATACCAGGATTTGCTCTTCCCTTATCTTTCTCTTTCCCCCTTCCCTCTATTCTTTCTACGGCTTTACCAATTCAGGGCCACCCTTAACAGCATCTAAGAACAGCCTTAACCATTATTCACTCTCAAACAAAACCCAAATCAGTTCCCTCCTTAATTGTAAACTGTAACCCAAAAAGAACCCAAATTTGTTAAACATTGTAAACTCTAAGGTACCACAAAATGATACAAAAACAGAACCATGTCGTCCTTAATTGTGATCATCAACTAATAGATGTGCATAATGGGGCAATCAAACCTCTAACATCCTCTAAAACAGCCTACATAGTTTGGAGAAATCACTTCTCGGCGTCCTTAAAACTAGGTAATATGTAGAATATTTATACCTCATCTTTTATGGACTAGTACATAAGAACAAACTGTGAAACGGAGGACATGTACCAAAAAAAAACATGAAGTTGAAGTTATCCTCGACTTTCCTAAGAGTTTAAGGTAGAATATAAAATATGATACAAGATTTGAACTCCGATAACTCCAAATCACATATATCAGTGAGAAGATGCAATTGTAAATAAAAAATACTCAGAAATTTCAATCGTGTAAACAGTAAGAAAGACTAAAGCCAGGGTATGAAAGTACTCACAGGAACCATAAAGATAATGCGGACTATGTATCTCTGAAATATGGGCTCGGTATAGTTCAACAGATGTTTGTAAATATGGAGAATTGCCAACGTCATTGCCCCAACCGTACAAGGCAATGCTATCAGTATGTAGAATAACGGCGCCATTTGCGGCCGACGGTAGGAATCACACACCCCAAGAACAGTCTTGTACGAAAACCTAATAAGATAATAACACCATCAGCAATTTAAGAGAACGAACTCGATACAAAATGATAAATACTCAATTAAAAAGTTTCACAAACCTCAAATATACAATTCAAACCGCGCTTCCACTAGACTAGTAAATTTGCTGTCAAGCAGGGAACAAACTATTTTTCCACGAATTCCTCAGAAACTCGTGAGGAACCTAAACCCTAAAAATGGGCACATGTTTCCACACCAAAGGCTGAAAGAAATCAAATCATACAAAAAAAAATGAGTAAATGGTTTGAAATTATTGCGAAATCCCCCAAATTGAAGAAATCATAAACCAATTTGTCGCTACACGGTTAAGAAAATTGGAGTAAAAATGTAACAATTGGCGAAACCAACTTACCTCATCGATGAAATTGAATCAATAATTCGGCAGTTCGTCGGGACGAAAACCAATGCAAGTACATATAATGAACAGATCTGTCAAAGAATAACGAAGCGGCGCTATTACAATAATAAGAAGAAACAAAGATTGTTGCTGAAAATTCAAAAGCAGCGCCAAAAAAGCGTGAAAGCGATGGAGTTTGGTTTGGGTGTAGGTTCGGAAAGACAACAATGGCGGCTTCTAGATAATTTTTCTGTATCTGATACAAATTCTGTTTGCGCATATACAGGTATTTATTTTTTATTCTTTTAAACAAAAAAAGTTAAGGTTTAAAAAATGTAGGGGAGGCGAAAGGGCTGCTATATTATATTAATTTAACTTTGGTTTTCTAATTGATTAATTGTGATTAAATTATAGTATCTGCATTGAATTGTTAGATTTAAAAATATAAAACTTACATAATAATAATAACAAATTTATTGAACGTTGTATGAAATAAATTATAATATAGAACTTATTTCAAAGTCATTGATAAAATATAATTTTGTAGGTAGTGACTAAGTATAAAAATATAATTTTGTCATAAATATTATAATATTATAAATATTATAAACTTTGATATGATTATTGTTAATCATTTTAACAATATATCTAATACAACTAACCGAACATATTACCTTAATTAATTACTTCCTTTGTCCATTATTATACTCTTTGTGAGGTGTTTTTTGTCCCAAATTATTTGTGAGTTTAGAATTCTAATAAAACATTAATTGTATTTTTATCAACTTTGCCCGTTATAACTCTTAATTAGTTAATTAAAAAATAATTATGTCAAGGGTATTTTAGTATTTACTATATTATTTTTTTGTAAAATCTATGCATATTTATTGAGTATCCTAATATACACGCGTAACCACCCAAAACGATATAATATAGGGGATCACTATTTCAAATCCCAACTTTTGCTTACTTGAATACCAAAAAAATAAAAAATAAATAGTTAATTGTAAATTACTTTAATGCCCTTAATGAAAGTTAAAACCAAAAAAATATTACAAATACTATTTTTCTTTCTTAAATACCAAATAATCAAAAACTCTAAAAAAAACATTTCCCTCCTCACTCACAAACCCCTCACCTCCTCCACCTCCTTCTTCTCCCTCCCCAAAAACCCTCCTAAAAAACCTCAAAACAAAAGAAATCAAAACCTTACACAACTTGCAAAATGGCGTCAAATGACAATAGAATGGTAGTTTACGAGCAAGGAGAACCCATTAAGGTATGTATTCATGTATTTTTTGAGCTAAAACATCAATTTTTTTTTATTTTTTTTTTAATTCGCCATCAATTTTCGACACATACAGGTCGAAAATATGCTTATTTTTCGACATGTATGTGTCGAAAAACATAACAATTGATATTTTATTCAATTTCGACACCTAAGTGTCGAATTTTGCTACAATTTTCGACACCTAAGTGTCGAAAATGACCCATATTTTCGACACTTAAGTGTCGAAAATGACCTCTATTTTCGACACTTAAGTGTCGAAAATATGGGTCATTTTTGACACTTAAGTGTCGATTTTGTTCATGTTGCAAATTTACTTGTCTTATATTTTCGACACTTTTGTGTAGATCGATTGCACCCATTCATTTACCACGTCAGAAAAATTCCCAACAAAAGAAGCTTTATTGGCATGGGTTCGTGAAGTATGTAAAAGAATTGGAATGGTGTTAATGATTGCGGGTTCGAGTGACGGGGATAGAGGACGTAGGACACCGTATGTGATTGTTCGTTGTGAGCGTGGGGGCCATTATGTTGGCAAGAAGGTACCAGGTGAAGATGATCAAAGACCGGGAAAAAGGAGCACCGGTTCAAAGAAATGCAATTGTCCGTTTAAATTGAAGGGGACAAAAGAACACAAGGATGATGAAAAGGCTGAGTGGAAATTGGATGTTTTATAGTGGTATTCACAACCACAACTTGTTTGAAAATTTGCACGGACACTCTTATGCTGGAAGATTATCAAAGGAGCAGACTTCCTTTGTTCTCACTATGAAGAAAGCAATGGTGAAACCAAGGGCAAATCTAAGATCATTGAAGGAAAATGACCCGTCTAATGTAACTGGTATGAAGACAATTTACAATACTATCTCTAAGTTAAATTTCAGTGAATTGTCTGGGAGATCTCAATTGCAATCATTGTTCGTCAAGTTGAAAGAAGATGAACCTCTCGTACCATAGATCGAACGAGTTGAATGCGATTACTGACTTGTTGTGGATCCACCCCAAATGCATTAAGTTGGCACAGTCGTATCCGTACGTATTCGTCATCGATTGCACGTACAAGACCAATCGTTACGAACTCCCATTTCTTGAGATTGTGGGTTTTACTTGTACCAACAAGACGTTCTCCATTGCCTTTGCATACTTGGATCACGAAAAGACGGAAAATTTCGAATGGGCGTTGCGTTGTTTGAATGAGGCCATGACCAGTTGTCCTCGGCCTAATTGCATTGTAACAGATCGAGATTTGGGTTTAATGAAAGCAGTGGCCAATGTGTATCCATCGAGTCATCACTTGCTGTGTCGGTGGCATGTGAACAAGAATATATTGGCCAATTGTAAGAAAGTGTTCATAAATGACATCACCAAATGGAAGCAATTTCAGTCGGTTTTTTCGGCTCTTATTGAAAGAAATACCATAGAGGAGTTCAATGAGGATTGGGAGTCAATGAAAAGAACATTTATCGGTTATCCCCCGGCTATAGCATATGTAGCTAATTCATGGTTGGATCCGTACAAGGAGAGACTTGTATCGGTGTGGACAAATAAGTGTACTCATTTTGGAACGTACACTTCTAATAGGGTGGAGGGCGCACACGGACGAATGAAAAGGGATGTGCATAATTCAACTGGCACCTTTGTGGACTTGTATACGAAAGTCCACAACCAAATTGTTGAACAACACAATGGCATCAAAGCTTCTTTTGAAGTAAGTAAAAATACTTACGAACACACTTTCAAAATGTTGATATACAATGAGCTTCGTGGAAGTATCTCAAAATACGCTCTGCAACTACTCAAAGTTGAGGTGGACAATGCGAAACTATTGCAACCGAGCGATATGGGTTGTAGTTGCGCCATCCGAACAACTCACGGTCTACCATGTTGCCATGAACTTCATGAGTATGTTGTTGTGAACAAATGTCCTATCCCACTTGAGTTAATAGGCTCGTATTGGAAACACATGAGCATGGAGCCCGTCGCGACCACAGACGAAGTCATCCTACCAACCATCGATGAAGAATTATCGGAATACCAGAAGCTCTTTGAATGTGCCGAAGAATTATGTCGAATTACCAAAAAATCAAAATAATCGACAACTACATGTCGAATTTTGTAGAATTTTCGACATCAATCTGTCGAAAATCCTGCAAAAATCGACATGTACAGGTCGATTATTTTGAACGAAGAACCGACCCACGAATCTCAAATCAATGCTCAAATCGACTGAAATTAGATGCACCCATTACTAATTAACGATCATTTCTACCTAAAACAATCAAATCCTAATTACCCATATCAAACAATCAAATCCTAAGTAAATATTAAAGAAAAAATAAATTCGAAAAAAAATATTACTTGTACAAAAAATGGACGAAGAAGCGGCGGCGGGTTGATAACAACGGACGAAGAAGCGGCGGCGGCGGCGAGGGTTGGAGAGGAGAAGAAATGGTGGAGGTTTTTTTTTTACCACAATGGGTTTTTTTCTTTTTTTTTATTTGGTTTTAGAATAGGTAATTTTAAAAAAAAATTGATATAATTGATATTTTGTATGAAAGGGTATTTTTGTACTTTTCTTTTTATTTTGGTATTAAAGTAAGAAAAAACTGATAAATATGTACTCAATTTTGGTTTTAAACTTGGTAGTGTTCAAGTAAGCAAAAGTTGGGATTTAAAATAGTTGCCCCCTATAATATAGGACGGAAGGGATAGTTAATAGAAATTATTGCAATTCAGTCTAAAATTTAATTTAATCCGATATTAGTAACTAAACAAGGTCCTAAAAGCTTAAACTAAATTGAGATACGATACCGAAACGGGTTCACTCCTTTATACATAAAAAATAATCGTATTGTACATTTGACAAACAAAACGAAAGACAGTGTTCTTTTTCAAGCATCGTCCTTTCCCATTCATTTAGCTTGATACGGGCTATTCTGACCGACATGAACAAATGTGAGTTAAAAAAAACCGACTCACTATTATAAGAAAAGATATCGAACTGTGATCTCCGAATAACGACTTAAAACTTCGGCACACCGTCGCTCGCAGCCGAGTATAAAAACGACTGAAGCCTGGTACCGAGGAGATGCGTAAAGCCTAAGCAGGGCCAAATAATAAAGGCCCAAGAAATATAATTTGAGGGAGAAAAAACCCTAAAAAAGGAAACCTTGGAGGCCAAGGTTTCATCATCTATAAATAGAGGGAGCATTATCTATTCACACATATATACTCACGTACTTACATTTTTCATAATAATAACATCTTAAATCACATATAACTGACTTGATCGTCGGAGTTTTCCCGCCGGGATCTCCCCCGGCGTTGCAGGTACCTTCATCAGAGGACTTTCACGTGTCTTGGAAGAGAATGCAAGCCCCACGGACCAAATCAAGTGGCGCCGTCTGTGGGAAATAGTTCCAAAATCTTGGGTACATAACTTCCGGGAAAAACTATATCTGCCCCCAGAAGTCCAAATCTGAGCTATAAACGTGGAGAAAAATGGAGCAAGGAGACACCATTATCCGAAACCTGCAAAAAGAATTAGACGCAGCAGTTCGCAACACGCCCACTACGGAGCCATCACCTGTTCAGAAAAGCAAATCAGGATGTAGCACAGTCACCCCCACGAAGGAAGGCCAAACTTTTCCCCTCTCGGACAATCCTTCTTTTGAATTTCAGAATGGTGAGACCGCTTCGAGGAGACCAGTCGCAACCCCCGCTCGACCTCCTAGCGAACGCATGTATACCAAAGACGAGGTGGAAGCTATTATCACTGCGGCCATCAGGAACTATGCCCAGTCTTCACCACAGGAAAACAGGTCTAGAAGGGACCTTAGACGCCCCACGAACGAAGAACGAGCTGAAGACGAATGCAATAGTTACTCGGAAAACAGAGGAGGTGGTAGTCAGGATGTCCGGACCGAGGTTGACAGTTTGAGGCGAGATATAAACGAACTGAAGGCCCTGCGAAGCGGTTTAACACGAACTCCCGAGGGCACTAGCCCGTTTGC